CCACAGACATCATACATGCAACCATTATGTATGCGTAAGAAACTTTAAGTTGCACTTTTATCCCTATTATACATTATATACAACTCTCATTATGGCTTTTAACTTAATTATGAGGTTAACAAAACACCACAAAATAAGCACAAAAAAGTAAGCAATCTACAAACTAGCAAAACATGGTCTCACTTTGCAAACTGCTAAATGATCAAACATTACTCTAGTCACATGTGACCCAAAAATCTATTGAGGACAAATAATGGTAGCTCTAGCACATAGCTTCATTTTGTCTATGAACATTCTAAAGCTGACATTTCCTAACAGAGAGGTTTCTATAGTGTGTTATGATTTCAACAATAGAAATCTGCTAGGTGACGTGATACACAATGGAGAAGAGTATTTCCCTTGCCTTAGATAGGTGAATGAAGGCTTTGTTAATGAGACTGTTAGGTTGAACTTTACAGACAATGAGGAAATACAACAGATAAAGAAAGATAAACCAATATTCAAGGCAATAAAACATCTGAGGCAAAACAAGGGTGACAATTCAATCCATTAAGGCTCAGGGTCTTATGGAGAAAGGACCAAAGATAAAATGGAAAAGCTAAACAGGAAGCATATCAAGAAAGCAAAGGTGGGTGGAAGGGTAGACACCCAATGTGTCTTTACGTGAATTTACGGAGAGGGGAGATAAATTGAAATTTGCATTAGACACATCTTTTAGGTGGGAATAGAAGGAAGCATAGTACCAGCAGCATGCAGTAGTTCAGATGAGAGAAGAAAGAGGGTAGCTTTAAGGTAGACTAAGTGAGGATGAAGATAAAGAGAAGGATATGAAAGATGTTGAGGACATAAAACTTTCCAGACTTAAGAACTAATTAAATGTTGAATTGCAAGAAGTGCTAAACCACATATTAAAATCAAGTATCTTGACAAATTTTGAACTGTTTTAATGTGAGTTCTTTTCACAACTTTAGTTGACCAGTGAGACCCAAAAAAATAAACAATGAAATCCAAGTGGTCTTAAAACTTAAATGTTACCTTATTTGGGGCTTCATTTCATCAACTCCTTAATTCACATTAAGTCAAATATATTGGCTTGGATAATCTGCAGACCGGGCTTTGAGTACAAGGAGCCTGGGTCTCTAACTAAAATTAAGTGTGTACATGAAGATAATGCGAATTCAATAATGACAAACAGCTCTTTTTCTTGGGACCTAGCAATTGAGTCTATAAAAGTAATGAAAATTGTTTCAAAATTCAATCCATTAACATTATGATATGTAAGAGTTAACATAATGGTATAGGTTGGTGCAAAAGTAATTGTATTTTTTTTTCCGTTAAAAGTAATGGTAAAACCGCAATTACTTTTGCACCAAACTAATATTAATCCCTTGTGAGATTAAGATCAAAATAAAAGAAATACAAATTTATTAATCCTAGACTATATTTTGTTATATTAACATAATAGCAAGAAAACATTTTATATTAATTCTTAACATATTTGAAAATTTCTGAGAATAGAAATCTATAAAATGTCTCAAACTTTATCTTCTCACAACACTTTTATACTATTAAAAATTATTGAATACTCCAGACAGCACTTATTTATCTGAGTTATACCTGTCAAGAATTACATATTAGATATTAAATTTTAAAATATTCATTTATTTACTTTAACTATAACAAAACTTCTACACAGATAACATAGACAGAATTTTTTAAATAAAAACTACATTTTCCAAAACAGAAAAAGAACTAATGAGAAGAGTGGCTCTGTTACAAATTTTTACAAATCTTTTTAATGTCTAGAGGAACAGCTAGATCCCCATATTTGTTTCTGCATTTCACCTGTTGTGATATGTTGTCTCAGTTGAGCTATATGAAGAGAATCCTCCAGCAGGTGAGTAGTTGGAAAATGAAAGACAACATAAACTCCTTAAAAGGGGTCCTGGGGACCCCAAAAGACCTCCCACATACTTTGAGAACTATTGATACATATGGTAAAGAACATTGTCACTTGGGTTAGTCATCAATTAGTCTTCTCCAAAACTAGTCAAGTATTCCAAAGAAATTCAATAAATTCTACTTAAATTCTCAGAGGAGGAAGAAGAGGAAGAAAAGGAGGAGGAAGAAAAAGAGAAGGAAGAGGAGGAAAAGGGGCAGCAGGAGGAGGAAAAGCATCAGGGAATTGAACAGTTATATGACTTGGGTGTCTTGCTACTGTCATAAAGATCAAAATTCTACATTTATAAAAATTAGAAGTCATTATGGAATTATAGCAGTATAAAGGACCTCTGAGATTGCACCTTGAAAATTAACAGAATAAAATATCAATAACCAAAGAGGCTAAAGAATTATCCAAAAAAATGGCAAAAATACACTTATAAAAAGGCTCAGAGTCTAGAAGGGGAGACCCAGCTTAAATGTAACTGGACCTTTCTTTTCATATATTTACATACAAATATCCCTAATACACACAGACACACAGACACAATCTGAGGAACATATACATAGTCCTATCTTTACTTGTATTCATACTTGTAAAATGCTTCAATTTCAAGAAACAACCGATAGTATAACCAAACTACACAACTGTTACAGATTAATAACATTTCCTATCTTCTCAATATTTTTCAAGAATAACTTTAAATATAATGAAAATACATTTAATTCAGAATTCAGATCACTGAACCTACCAAGAAAACGGATAGTATCAAATACATGATTTAAAATTTATAAAGCAAACCATGCAATCAATTCTCAAATATTTAATCTATACTACCCATGTTTAAAGGAAATAATAAGAACCTGGCCCAGAGCAGTGGCTCACGCCTGTAATCCCAGCACTTTGGGAGGCGAAGGCAGGCAGATCACAAGGTCAGGAGATCGAGACCATCCTGGTTAACACAGTGAAACCCCGTCTCTACTAAAAATACAAAAAAATTTTAGCTGGCATGGTGGTGGGCACCTGTAGTCCCAGCTACTCGGGAAGCGGAGCTTGCAGTGAGCCAAGACTGCACCACTGGACTACTCCAGCCGGGCGACAGAGCGAGACTCCGTCTCAAAAAAAAAGAAAAAAAAAAAGGAAATCATAAGAACTTATTTAAATGTCAACTATTCAATAAGTCATTTTTGTTAATATTTTAACAAATAAGACAATTTACATTATTTCAACTGAACTTTCGTAATAGTATCATAATCTTTTACTTGCAATCTTCAATGAAAATTTTAAGAAGTCTGTGCATAGAGATTACTGTATCCTTTAACATAGAAGAAAATATATCTTGTTTATGAATATATATAAGATCAGAACAAGAAACTGCTTTAACAAGCAATAAGTATTCTTTAAAACAGAAAGTCCATAGCACAATTCAAATTGCTGAAGATTAAAATACTTTAGAAATCAAAAGCAAATTAAAAAATATAACTAATATGCTTATGATAAAATGAATCCATATTTAATTTTAACAGCTTAAGGACAACTTCTGTGAATTTTCAGCATAATACTGTTCCTCCAAAGAATTTTTTAAAGTGAGGTAAAAACAAGCTAAATGAGAGTCAATCAGCTATAGGCATGCCAGAAATCAAGAATGTTAACTCATGTGAGGTTATGATAAAGAAAAGTTTCCAATAAATTGATAAAAAAGGAATTACTGATATTTGGCTTAGAAGATACAACAGCTACTATAATGGATTTCTTCCTCAACTGCCCTCTGATTTATCTTTGCACTATAAACACTTTCGAGCATGAAAGAAGCAATTCGTTTTGTTCATAGTTTTTTCATTCAATGATTCATTTATTCATTCTCTTATTTAACTGCTATTTATTTAGTGCCAACTATGTGCCAAGCTCTGTATTAGCCATATGTACTTTACCAAATACCAATACAAATGAGCGGTACATAAAGAATTTGTCAAAATCCTTAGTGATGTGAAGCAAGAGGATGATGAGAAGTGAATAAACTTATCAGTTGCACGTCACTGAAAATGCTATTCCTACATTTTAAAACTATTCCTACAAATTATTGCTTTGAGATATCCAACAGACTAATAAGTCTATGTAATAGACTTCACTTTGTGTCTACCAAGAAGCAGCTATGTCTAGAGAATGTCATTTACTATGAGCTGTAGCCTTCCATTTACAACAGAATGCAATTAATTCTGGCCTGAAAAAATCTTCCTCTAGAGCTTTTATTCCAATTTTGAGTGGACAGACATTTTGAAAAGGAGTTATTGGACTTCTAGATTGAAGAAGTCTATAGAATATGGAAAGAATGACATGGTATAATATGCAGTAAAGTCTCCCATACAATTCCACACTAAGGAAGGCAAATCTGCAACCCAAAAGGAGTTTCACAAATTCCTTCACATTTCTCAGTAGTAAAGGGGTTAATCACTGAAAGAAAGCATCCTTCTTAATGTTGTACAAAATAAAACATTTTTAAAAATATTTTTGCCATCATATTAAATGGTTCACAATTTTAATGAGTTTTCAATTTTAGAGGAATGCCATCAGTTTTACGCACTTTTAGCTCATTGTATTATAATCAAAAGACATCCCCCACACATTCTTTAACATAATTAGTTCATAAGCCTCGCAAGAAAAAGTCATAATATATTAAGTATTCCTTGTAAGATTAATACTTTCATTTAAAAAAACACAAAATGTTTACAAAACAGACTGTAGAACTTGTATATGATACTAAATTCTAAACACAAATGTTAAAAATTCTTGGTTTATCCTCCAGTGAGATTAATCAGAGTTTGGAGAGAAGGTGTCACTTGATACAAAGTCATGCAAGAGTGACCATGATGTGGAGAATGGCAATCCAAAAAAGGGTAAATATGACTACTTATTTTAAAGTGAAGGCTTGATCACAAATATACAGAAATGAAAATGATACAACATAGGACTGGGCTGCACTAGTAAGTATTTACATTTAAAAAACTTTCCAAACTTCATACTGCTAAACTATAGACTACACTAGTGTTCAAATTCTCACCAAAATTTCAGTATCTGTAGCCTGTTCTTGGGCCATCTGAATTGCTTTTGCCAGATCTTCTTCACCTTCTGGGATGCTAAAATTATCATCTGGTATCTAGTTCACAAAGAAAGAGAAGGATAGGAAAAGTGAGCAGAAATATAAAATACTTTATTTCACTTTAGAAATAATTTTTCTTCACAAATCAAAGGATCAAAGAAATACTTTATGTAAAACACCATGTCATTCTGAAGATCCATGAAAAATGAATAACTGCTTTCTTCTGACTTCCTTGTAAATGTCAATAAGTGTCACTTCTAATAAATTCAAGATTAGTTTGTGGGCAACTGCTTTTATCTATAATAGAAAATAGAATCTAATAATTCTGCTGAAAAAATAATAAAGCTATCTAAATATCACTATTCTCTCCCCATCCCAAGTGCTCTCTGCCATCACTTTTTCATAACTACTAGGAACTGAAAATCTCTGGTTTATTAAAAAATAAAACTCACTGAGCATTAAAATCTTGAAAGGACGTGATGGATTGTAATTACATTAATGACAGTTAAGACTTAACACAAGCTTCTTATGTACTGATCACTGGTTTAGGCCCTTTACATTTATTAACTCATTCAGGAACTTCATGTGGTACATATAATCTCCATTTCACCAGTAATAAGCCTGTCTCCAATCTTCATTCCATCTCTTGCTCACCCAGGCTCGCCAGGCTTATTTCCACACAGTTTCATTCACAGCCTCTGTCATCTACCAGTGATTTTATCCTCCAAGTGTCCAAAGTAATGATAGGTCTCGGGAACAAAGAATTAAAGGAAAGCTTTGAGATAGGAACCACATTAGACAGAAGTACAGTTAAGCTGAAGGGATGCATAAGGCCTGAGCTCCAACTGGGCAGTAGGAATCTAGGAATCCTTGACAAGAGCAAACTGGATGACAGGAAGGAAGTGCCTCCTGAACAGAGATAACAGTTTATGGTAGGAATCTACAGGCAATAAGGAGTTGAACCTGAAGGACAATTAACAGGAAAATCAAAAGAATCAGATATATTATCCAATTTAAATGTTTAAATAGAATTTTCACATCTCATTCTTAATCAGCTGATACAAGCTAAATTCAGTTGAAAAACTAGTATATCTTAACAAAAAAAAAATGGTTCTTACATGTTTCAGAAAATAAAATGAGCACTTCATGAGAATGACTGCAATAAATTTACAGAACACCTAAAATTAACATGTTACCTCTTCATATTCATAGTCATCTTCAGATGCTTCAGTTATGGTGACCTCTGAATATCTTGTCAAGTTTTAATCTCAAAAAACATAGAATAAAATTATTACACAAAAATTGATTTGACCTTCAAATATAGTATTGGATTCAACTATCTCACCAGGAAGTTGGTAAATATATATAATTTAATCTCCAAAAAATTTGTCTTCCTCATATAGCCTATAAATCTAGATATTTTAAAACAAAATACTTCATTATTTTTCACAACTCAAATCCATGAAAACCTACATTTCTATCTGTCTGTCTGACTGTTTTCTATCTATCTAATGATTTTCAACTTGATTCTATCAAGGCTTATGAAAATACATATAATATCATAAGGTAGTATGAATTAGAAAGAGATAAGAAAAAACAGTAAATTTTTCAAATTCAATCTAAACCACAATGAATTTTCCAGAGCTCCTGAGTTAACTATTCACAGTACGTGAATAAAATGCGACTTTATTTGGTTTAAAGTATTGTGAATGAACAAAACAAATGCACACCAATATTTAAGTAAAGAACACGTATCAATGTTTTTATCAATAAAATTTAACTTTTCCATATATCTCCATTTTTAAATTATCTTTATAGGAAAGATAACTTAATTTTTAAGTGAATATAAACTATACAGCTATCATAATTCAAAATTTCATAAATACTGAAGAAATTAAATATCAATGGAAATTATTCTAACACAAAATAATTCTACGAGAATTGCTTTAAGACTTTCAAAACTTGTAAGTTACTCTAATTACATATGAAAACTTCAAGACAACATTTTATGTTAAATCATAGCGCACACCATCAATGCTTGTTGTTGTTGTTGTGTTAGGTTTCCTTTTTTTCTTATTACACTGACTTGGTTATGCCAAGTTTAAAATGTGTGAATTAAACACTTTAATGCATGACAGTGGTTATCCTCAAAGAGAGGATTAGCCTATTTTTCATTTTGCTGCTGATTATAAAATGTCTCTGGTATTATGCTAACCAAGCGTTAGCCGAGAGGGTATGTAACAACTTCTATTGTTTGTAACAAGAATAGATAACGCTTACACAGTATTTAATAGGAGACAGGAACTGTTCTAAGGGTTTTCCATGTATTAACTAATTTCATCCTCATCCTGTCTATGAGGCTGGAACTATAACTCTATTTTACAAATCAAGAATCAGAGGCATAAGGTTCCACAGCTAGGAACTAAAAGAACCGAGATGTTTAGGTTTCACCATATTATATTGCTTCTCCATGTTCTCTGTGGGTTTTTGGTGCTACATAAATACATAAAGTGCTTGCCAAATATTTTCCTTAGAGATCTAAACCTATAAATGTATTATTGCTACTAAGCTCCATCACAAGTAATCATTCTCCCCTGTATTTCTTATCCCTATCACTTGCAGGAGACACTTAAGCCCCATTCCATTATGACCAACCCTCAGACACGAGGTATCTGTCAAAAGGTCAGTATTTTATTGTCAAACATGAGTGAGTGCCTCTCCTAATAACATAGCAAAAATTAATTAGGTTCAAAAATAGCTAGTTAAATGATTAAACCACCACCACACAAAAATAGTTGCATACTTCAGTCTATTCAATAACCTTAATTCATCCATATTAAATACTACAAGGAGTAAAATATCTCCTTTATTATCTATTACTGTAGAACAGCTTCTAATAGTATTTGCCTCACTCTCTAATTCCTTGCCATCAGCCTCTTTAAAGAACATAAGGCTTCTACCAGAAATCTGTTCGAGGTATTTTATCTTTCACTAACAACGTATTTCCAACATCTCCCTAATCCCCAGTTCCAAAGCCACTGTTACTTCTTATTTAACATCCTACTCCAGATACTGAACCTGAAGGTCATGCTAAGTGAAATGTTAGATACAGAAAGACAAATACTGCATAATCTCACTTATATGTGGACTCTAAAAAAAAATTCCAACTCCACGGAAACAGACATTAGAAGGGGAGTTACCAATGAACAGAGGGTAGGGAGAATGGGGATGTTCGTCAAGGTTGCACAAACATTCATTATAAGATGAAGAATTTATGGAGACCTAATATATAGCACACTAACTATGGCTAATAATAATGTAGTGTGCACTTAAAATCTGTAAAGAGAGTAGATCTTAAATATTCTCACCACAAGTAATATAAAAATGAAAAGGTAGCTATACAAGGTAAACAAGTCAATTAGCTTGGGTGTGGTAATTATTTCACAATGTATATGTAAATCAAAATACATTGTACACCTTGAATATATGTAATTTTGTCAATTACATGTCAATAATGCTGAAAAAGGAACAACACGCATTTATTATACTGTGGTTTCTCTGGGTCAAGAACTCACTAATGGTTTAGCTCGTGGAATCTGACTTAGGGTCTCTCATGTCACAGTCAAAATGACAGCAGGATTAGGGTCATCTGAAGGCTGAGATGAGGCAGCAGGATCCATTTCCATGGCAGCTCACTGACATAGTACTAGTTTCCCAGAAGACCTCAGTTCCTCCCCATGTGGGTCTCTCCACAGGCTACATGAGCATCCTCAAGATATGGTGGGCTAACTATCCCCAGAATAAGCAGTCCAAGAAAACAATGTGGATGCCACAATAGCTTTTCTGACCAAAGATCAGAAGTCACACATCATTTCTTCATTATCCTACTGGTTACATGGGTCATGCCTATTCAATGTGTGAGGATTACAAAAGAGCATGAATATTAGGAGGTGGGGCTCATTGGATGCGTATTAGTTCATTCTCACGCTGCTATGAAGAAATACCCAAGACTGGGTAATTTATAAAGAAAAGAGGTTTAATTGATTCATAGTTCTGCATGGCTGGGGATATCTCAGGAAACTTACAATCATGGCGGAAGGCACTTCTTCACAGGGCGCCATGAGAGAGAGAATGAGTGCAAGCAGGGGAAATGCCAGACACTTATAAAACCATGAGATCTCACGAGACTCACTCATTATCACGAGAGCAACATGGAGGAAACTGGTCCTATGATCCAATTACCTCTACGAGGTCCTGCCCTTGACACATAGGGATTATTACAATTCAAGGTGAGATTTGGGTGGGGACACACATCCAAACCATATCAAGGTGTCATTTTATTTTAGAGACTGGCTTCTTTCCATACTCTGAGTGTTAAGAGAGTCAATATATGTAAAGCATTTAGATTAGTGCCTGGCTTATAGTAAATGATATACAAGTGTTTGTTGTCATTTCTTTTCTCACTCTGGAAAGAGTATCTATGGAAAAAAAATCTCTTACATTTCTCATGCCGCTGTTCCCCCATATGTTAAAATGAATAAAAGACATTTTAAATTTCCCTCCAGTTATAGATTTATATATTTCTGATAGTTTTATATAAGATAAAATTTCCGAAGGTTCAGCTAGAGGAAGTCAGCCTCTTTTCTATGAAAAAGCATGACCCCTTCTGAGAGACAGCTCCTAGAAAGTAATTTTGTATACAGTCATTTGTATGTCTTCAGAAAAGCAATGCCATCCTTCACCATGTACACATTACAATAATTTCAAAAAGAATACTCTAAAATCTTCTGGATAGACTTTAAAGTTGTAAATAAGCCAACCACTGATAAGATTATATGAGGAAGATGTCACATGGCAATATATAGTAGAAAAAAAAGTGATTTGTCCTCAAAGCATAAAAAATATCAAACAACACTTATATACTCCTACCCAGCAAATATTCTAGACAATGGCTTTTTATCACCTAAATGTATTACTTTCCCACAATCAAAAAAGATTAAGAGAAAACATAAATACCATTTTACAAAGCTTAAAAGTATTTTCACATGGACCAAAACTATATTTATTCTCACAACAACCCAATGAGGTCAAATGGCACAAATACAATCATCTCTAACTTAAAAATGAAGAAACTGAATCAGAGATTAAAAGATTTGCCCAAGATCACATAGCTGTGAATGACAAAGATAAATTCCTGAGATACAAATGCCATAAATTTGCTGCTACATCGTACTGTTTCTACAATGAGACAATAGGAATACACAATATGTTTTTACAAATACCCTAGGTAATGAACTCACCTATTTTTTTCCAAAAACTCTCAAGTATTACATTAATAACAGGTAAATCAAATCACATAAATAGCTCAATTTGAAGACCCCCAGAGGAAAGAGAAGCAGAAAAGAGCTACCGACTACAGACTCAAAACGAAATCTAACCAAGGGCAAGAGATTGATGAGACAATACGTCAGGTAGTGGACAAAACAATCAAACTAGGAAGATACATACTTTGATTGATTTTTATGTATCCACAATATAATTTATACATAAAATTTCCCAAAGGCAACTCAGTTTAAATGTCACGATGTTATTAAACACATAAATGCACTTTGACACTTATGTTTGTATGCATCTGTTTACCTGGCTAGCTAGCTGGCAAGAGACAGGTGCACAAACTGATCCTAAAGTGATTCTGTAGCAGTTTGCAAATATACACACTGTACAAAATGTGACAATTAATGAATGTGGAATTTGGAGGAGAAAAGAAAACAGTATTATAGAAATAAGATTAAGAGGCAGCACATACCATAGGTCTCATAAGATTGTTTAAAAATAACCCCCAGATTTGACTCTAAGCTTCCCAGTAACTAGGGTAAAAAGGGACATGGAATCAGACACTATCTCTGTATCGACCCAATGAAAACAGATGAGTTTCTCAACAGATATCCAGCAATATCTGGTTCCAAAGCCTGAGAGAAATGACATTCTTGGATTCTCACAAAAAGAATAGTGCATCGTAGAGATATCAATCCCCTTGGCCCTTGGGACAGCATAAAAGGCAGAGTGAAGTAGGATGTGATGGAGTACTGTATGTGAAAAACTTTGGAAAGCATTGTTTTGTATAGCAATCTTGCCAGAGTAGAAAAGGTTAATTCGTCAAGAATGATAAAACTCTGTATACTCTGGTTCTACTTTCACTGAGCAACTTTCTCATCCGTAATTTAATCTCTTAGGTGATCCTACTCTCTAGGAAACATCCATACAATTAAGTTAATCACAGTTCTCATGCAAAGTTATTTTTCTACTGAAATAACAAGTTAGCATTCTGGCCTAAAACTAGTTTCTTAACGTCAAGCTGCCTTTGAGCCCTTACAAAACTCCCTTCCCTCTAACTGCCTAGTATTCCTTCGAAGAACACTGGTGAATTTCAGTCCCAAAATTTTCTTCTGCCCCATCTGTTCCCCTCATATCTGGTTCTTACCTATCTGCACACTTGGCCTTGACTTGACACTTAATACTGTGCCTGGTTTTCTAGACTGCTCTTGCCTAGGGTAGTGTCCATGGCTCCCCTTTTCTCCCTGCCCTGAAGCCACAGCCTACAGTACCATCCAAGTTTAGACCAGGTTCTGTATTCCTAGTCATAACCTAGACACAGACTGAGGCTCCCATTTCTCACAAATCTCCATTTGCTCTGGAAGGAATTTAGTAGCACTTGTGAGTTTCATAGTATGAATTAGTTCCCTGGTATTTGGTCACCATGGGTGAACTATCTCATAGTTTCTGCACTAGCAGAGCCTGCACCAGATCCTGATACTGTCAATCTTTTCAGAAAATGGGAAAATGTAACACCCACACTGAAACTGCCAGGGAGCCCTAAGCCCATCATAGTACTACAGAGAACACAACTGCCAGAAACCTCAGTGAGACATTTTGGTTGGCCTAATGGCGCAGAGCTTGAGATGCCAACTGGTATGAGGGAGAGACAAGTAACATTCCACAAATGGACCAGAGCCAGAAACCAATGAACAATTTTCAGATGCGAGCAGCATACAAAGTACCTTACACACTGGTCTCTTCCACTGCTGCATTTGTAGGTAGTGTTTACTGCTAGCAGCAGCAACATCTTTATAAAGAACTGGAGTGAAACATATAGCTAATTATATTTTACATGATTTCCCAAAGCTACTATAGACAGAAATGATTTTGTAATCGTTGCCATCACTGCAAAGCCAACGTACACAGAGGCAATCTAAAATCTAGCCTGGATCTTCCATGATCAACATTTTACTTATTAAGCTGAAATAAAAATACTGTAAATAGCAAATACCATAGTCTTGGTCCCTTTCTTAGGAAGGCCAGTTTAAATAACTGAATAATACAGACAAAAATGGAAGGTAGCTGGCATGCTTGTGGTCACATTCCCTTTTGCCAATTGCTCCCTGCAGTTTTTACCACACAGTCTTCATGAGGACTCAGAATTCTTATTAATATCCTATACCAGGGAGCCACTACCAATTCAACAGAATTGGTAAGAGTGGAGAAATGTACTGGCCACTCCTGTTCTAGATAGCTATTGCGTATCTTCTACCTTCATCACTGGAAAATAACTTCTGTTCAGCATGTAAGACTCATAGTGCTCATGGAAGCTGATGGTGTAAGTCTTTCCAACTTCTAAGCCAGGAGATCCAAAGATATGGGCTCTACATGTGATATTTCTATCTGAAAATATAAAGGCTAGAGGTTAAGATATTTATCTACAGGCTTGCTACTTCAATTATAGTCCTTGGACCAGCAGCACCCGCAGCACCGGGAAGCTTCTTAGCAACGCAGAATCTCACCCCCTTGCCAGACTTACTGAATTAGATTCTTCATTTAAAGATCCACAGGTGAGTCACCTGCACATTAACGTTTGACTAAAGGACACAGAGCAAAACACATTTTTTTTCTCTCCAAATAGCCTATGACTTTCACACAGGTAAATATCAACACCCTGGATTTAGTAACATAGTTCTTAGTCTGTCTATATGCAGGTTGTGTATCCTTTTCATTTGAATATACATAGGGTATGTATGTTCTAATATCTAAGAACCCATGCGTAAAGTTCCAGTGATAAGAAATACACTATTAGGGTTCATAACAATTACTAAGGATTTTAGAAATGTCTTTTCACTTAATACTACAAACATTTCAGAGAAGTACCATTTTATAACAGAAGAAAAAGTGGCTAACACATGTATCTAAGAGAATGCTAGTTTTAAAAAAGAAAAAGAAATCTATGCATCCACCTTTCTAAATGTTTTACTTAACTACAATGTTTAGCTTTAAAAAAAAAAGTTAAAAACCATACAGTAAATTTTAAAAAAGGAAAGGCCAGGTGCGGTGGTTCACGCCTACAATCCCAGCCCTTTGGGAGGCCAAAGTGAACCATCCTGGCTAGCACAGTGAAACCCCGTCTCTACTGAAAATACAAAAAAAAAAAAGAAAATTAGCCAGGTGTGGTGGCAGGTCCCTATAGTCCCAGCTACTCGGGAGGCTGGGGCAGCAGAATGGCATGAACCCAGGAGGCGGAGCTTGCAGTGAGCCGAGATCGTGCCACTGCACTCCAGCCTGGGTGACGTCTCAAAAAATAAAATACAATAAAATAAGGAAAATTTAAATTTTAATTAAAGTTATCAGTGAACATTACTATTGCAGTGAAAGACTAGATAGAACAGTTACTTAAGAAGACAGCAAACTGGTACATTGGCTCATGTCTGTAATCCCAGCACTTTGGGAGGCCAAGGCAGTAGGATGCCTTGAAGGAGTTCAAGACCAATCTGAATAACAGAGTGAGACCCCCATCTCTACCAAACACAAAAACAAAAAACAAAATTAGCTGGGTATGGTGCCGCACATCTGCAGTTCCCGCTACTCAGGAGGCTGAGGTGGGAAGACTGCTCAAGCCCAGGAGTTTGAAGCTGCAGTGAGCTATGATCATGCCACTGCACTCAAGCCTGGGTAGCAGAGCAATACCTCATCTCTTAAAAATATACTTTTTTTCTTTTTTTTTTTTTGAGACGGAGTCTTGCTCTGTCGCCGGGGCTGGAGTACAGTGGCCGGATCTCAGCTCACTGCAAGCTCCGCCTCCCGGGTTTACGCCATTCTCCTGCCTCAGCCTCCCAAGTAGCTGGGACTACAGGCCCCCGTCACCTCGCCCGGCTAGTTTTTTGTATTTTTTTAGTAGAGATGGGGTTTCACCGTGTTAGCCAGGATGGTCTCGATCTCCTGACCTCGTGATCCGCCCGTCTCGGCCTCCCAAAGTGCTGGGATTACAGGCTTGAGCCACCGCGCCCGGCCAAAAATATACTTTTTTTCTAAAGGTAGCATGGTAGAGGTTAAGATATTTATCTACAGGCTTGCTACTTCAATTACAGTCCTCAGTATCTCAGATAAGGGCATCAGTCTAGTGTGATCCTCGTATTTCAGGGTCTAGAGTCCTTAATTTTGGAGTTTCAGAAAGAGTTGACTTTGGGACTCCATCCAGAGCTGATTAGCTTCACAGAACTGGCTTAAACTTACTCAACTCTCAGAAATTGCTGCCGGGGGTTGGGGAGACCTTTTCAATGGCAAGTAAACTTACACCTATCATCTAAAAAGCCAAATCCTTAGTATTAGAATGCCTAGAGAGAGGAAATAATCAAAAGCTAGAGGAGCCAGATGTCCATGTAGAGGGAGATATGTAACAAAAACAATATCTTGAGGCTCCACTTTCCTAGGGTCCACGTATTCACTTACTCTTCCTTGAACAAAGTCTCTTTAGACAAGGAACAACAAAATCAATTAACCCTTAGCTTTCTTAGTACAAATTCATTCTGGCCTTCCAATTGGAACGGGGCAGTCCCAAATGTCTGCAGCCACACATTTATAGGCAGCCCTTCCTCACTACAATTGAAAACCTCACCCAAGTTGTGTTGATTTCTAATAAGAGATTCATTCATTCACAAAAGACAACCAACCTTCCTTCTAGGTTCTGGAGATACCTACTTGACCCTTTACATATCTATCACATAGCTAAAATCTCACCTTATATTTTATAATGCTGCAAGTATTTTTCTAATGATGAGTTCTACAGAGGATTCATGTACTCCATAACTCAATTTCTTAGTGTTCTGACAATAGCTAAGAACCATGTCATGTATGTTTGTATCTCACCTTGTTGAAGTCTAAAACATAAAAGCAATGATATTCTGAGGTTCCTTAGAAGAGAAATAGGTGGCACTGTTAGAGTTAGGAGATTACAGGGAAGGGGTGTTGCAAGGTAAGAACTCTTTTTCCTGAACACAGTGTGTAAACCATCATAAAGGACATGGGACCTTTATTAATGTTCCCCCACAAGGCGGATCCTGGCTATGTTTCTGGTTTAGACATTAGTCTATTCATATTCTTCATATTTGGGTATTTAAAAGCAGAAAAGTGAGAGATTTCCTAAAGAATTCAAGTCAACTTCTTTGAAAGTCTTGCTCGGTATTGATAGCTCATTGTCTAATGTACTAGGAGCATCTGTTCAGTCATAAATAAGAGAAGTCCAGACCAAATGCAGATTAGAAGTCATTGAGTATATGTGGGAAGCACAGGACATCAGATTTCTGATTCATCTGTGCATATTGTAACTTTTATTTACCCACCACAATAGCTCAATTAAATTACCTGAAAGCAAAAACTTTTAACCAAAAGAAGTCTCACTTTAGCAACTATCATAATTGCCTTAAGAAACAATGTCAAATAACATTACACAGGCAACTCTTAATTAACCATGTGAAGAGAGCCCAGGGATACAGGAAAAATTGGTATTCACAAGCAATCCTCAAACTTCATTTCAACTGGGAGTTGAAATGACTAAACCTCTTCCCTCAGCATGGAATATAGCAAAATTAACTGGTTAAATGTTTAACTGTGTATCCCCTGACTACCCTTTGGTTAAAAGACAAAATAGTAGTCAGTCAAGCAAAGAAAGAAGAAAAGTAAATGGGTTGGATAATTCACACAGTGGATAGTAAAATCCTAAAAAGTTACAGTTGCTTATATGTGTTAAAGTTCCAGTAAGTGTGATTATTTGAAGAAGTCTTTGTAAGACAGGTTTGCAAACTGCTACATCTTGGCAGGTGGGACTCAGTGAGCTCCCTGCAAATTAAGTAAACCTGATTTTCATTGCTGAAAGTTCTGTCATGTTAGACTCCTACCATTTATTTCACAAAGATGTTTGCAAAAAGTTACCTGATTGTGTCAATCTCATGTTAACAATTAAACTATGTGTTTATGGAAATAATTTTAATGCAAACAAAATTACAAGATGCCTGGTTACCATTCAGTAGCGAGGGCACTGATATAGATACGCTTAGGAAGAATTATGAAAATCGCTGTTAAAGAGGAATATTACTGGAAAAGACAGCCTGTTAGATCTATGAAAACAGTATAAAACCTCACTTATGACACTAAAGCACCCACATATTTCTTTCAAATTGATTTCAAGCGATTCGAATTTCTATTCCTGTAAAAGTCGTTTTGGCACCCAATAAAATACTACATATGTTCTTTAATCTTTCAACTAAATTCTTCACAGCTCTCTGTAGTGTGGATGTGTACTGAGGCTGAGTCAGGACAGGTTAATCGGCTTGTCAAAGCTCACAAAATGAATCATTGCTGGATTTCCGAAATCTTGAATTAAAGCTGGGGAGGATTAAAAATAAGTTGGACAAAAAAATAAGATTTGGCAGATTTTGGAGTTTCCTTGGTATCTTTAAGAACTGAACAGATAATCATCTCTTTCTTACCGCCTGAATAAAGGACTTAGATGTCTTTTTCTCATGAACCCTCCCCATCTCCCTAGTAGGGATTAATCTATATAACTAGAGGAAGGGAGTTCTAAAGCCTTAACACAAGAAATAGTGGACCTAATTATCCACACATGGTTACTCAATTTTTCTGTTACTTCCGATAAAAATCGTTAATCACTATCTGCTTTCTTCCTAACATCTCTGAGCTGTGTAGTTCACCAGATCATTATTTGCTCAAGGAAAAAAAAAAAAAAAAGCAACTATACTATTATTATTATTAAATAGTCAAACTTGGAACTACCCAGGAAGATAATGCTATCAAAACTAAGCATTTAAGCATTAACTGGACAATCCAACTGGATCGTGGGTTGGGTATTCTGAGCTTCAGCTTCTAAAAGTCCAATGGCAGAGGTCCTTCCCTAGTCTCCTAACGTTCCTCCGTTGAATTTATTGGGACGGCTTTCTGAAAGATTGAGGGCTTACTTAGGAAACCCATTATTTGCAAGGAGGGTTGAAGCAATTTGTTGTGCTGCCTTAACATAAAAAGCAACCCTTCATCCAAAATGTACTGAGTGGTTACTAAGTATGAGGCCTTGGAAGGTCTCCCAACTCTTCTAACAGGTACGGGACACCCTGCGCTACTAAGGGCGAGAAATTCAGTGAGTGGCTCTCAGGAAGACTGCGGTGGCAAAAACAGCGCCTTGAAGTCCAACAAAGTCTCCTCCGGAGAGTGGCCCCAAGGCTCAAAAGGCGCCCCCAGTGGGAGGCCCTCGCCTTCCTCCCAACACCCATTACCCGACAGCGCAGCAAGCCGCGCCTCCACGGGAAGGATACGCTCCAGGTAGTAGGCGCCCTCAGCCGCCACCGCGTCCGCCGTGTCCCTCGCGTCCCCAGCTGCCGTCAAACCCATGCCCAACGCCTCTTCCAGCACCCTCACGGCGGAGCTCGGTGTCCCTCGCTGAGCAGCCATCTCTGGCGCTCCGAGCCCCCTCCACCGGCCGGCCCACAGCTGTCCCTAAGGGCAACAGCGAAGACGCTGCCCAACGGCCCCAGGCAGCTCTCGCGAGATCCCGACATATCTCACCCCGCCCCACGGGAGCCCGGGGCAAGGAAGGGTTGCCAGGAGTCCAAGTAGCTGTCGCACTCCCGGGCCTCCCGGTTACCGTGGCAACGTTGTTGCCGTTAACGCGAGAGTTCAGGCGCAGCTCTCAGAGCGGACAAGATACAATAAACAATTGGCTTGCATTGCACCTTCCTACCCAAGCAGCTTGGTTTTCTTTCGCTTTGACCCTATAATTTCTTTCCCACTTCGTTGTCGTCTCTGAATTACCTTTCTCTTGATTCTTGCCCATTAGCAGTCCTCTAATTTCAGATGTTTGTAGATCCCCAAGTGTTCCCAGGGAAAACTACTAGAAAAGGTGAGTTCTCAACACCTAGAAGTTTTTTAAAAATGAAAAAATAAAGTTCTAGAAATCATAATTGAAAGACTGACCCAGGG